AAGCCATCTGTACCTGTGGCTTGAAAAGCAGCATTTTCATAGCTTCCGGGACTGTCAACCAAGAAATTTACGTGAAAGAGTGTTTGAATAAACGTCTGCTGCCTTTCCTGAAGAAACACGGTTGTTCCGTACTGTTTTGGCCGGATTTGGCATCTTGCCATTACGGTAAAAAGGCCATGGAGTGGTACGCCGCCAACAACGTGCAGGTGGTTCCCAAGGACAAGAACCCTCCCAACACGCCAGAGCTCCGCCCAATTGAGAAATACTGGGCTATTGTCAAGCGGAACCTAAAGAAGACCAAAAAAACTGCTAAGGGCGAGCAGCAGTTCAAGGCAAACTGGCTTTCTGCGGCGAAGAAGGTGGACAAGGTGGCTGTACAAAATCTGATGGCAGGGGTCAAGCGTAAGGCCCGGCAATTCGGATTTGGAAAAGCGGAAGCCTAACTGAATATTTTTCCTGAATTTTATACTAATTGAACTTGAAAAAGAAATTTAATTTGATTTTTTAAATAAACGATTTCACCGATTTACACGCGTTTTCCCTTGACCAAATTTTGACCGTATCACCCTTTAGATGTCTACAACAGGTACAGAAAAACATCACATAGACGCCCTTATTCACACTAACTACTCAGGGGGTAGAAGGTCAAGAAGAGCCACCGCCGCCAACTAAAGCTTGAACCGGGTACATGGGACTCCCACGATATACCCGCGGCAATGTTCAGCAAACGATGCCACACACTTAAATTTTTTACAGTACACTGTAATTTTTTACCGAATATGGAACAGCTGAACATTCGGTAATCTATTCGGTATTGGCCTGACCTGGACTGTAAAAACAAACATAGTGTAGTACTAGAATTTTGACTAGAATGGGGACGTAATCGATTTGTTTGGGACCAATAGGCTAGCCAATTTAAAATCGTTAGTTTCGTATTGATTGTGGTCTTAGGTAACTCTAAGACCACTGGGTCCCGAAGAAAATCATTACTATTTTTGGCTCACTCAGTACCAGAACAACGGTCCCAAGCAGTCCCAAGCTATTTCACTCACCCCTGCATGTTCTGCATGAATCCACACACCCCTGATGTTATCTGTCAAACTTTCATAGCGAATCAAAACAAACATAGTGTAGTAATAGAATTTCAACTAAAATAGGGTACGTTAATCGTTTGCTTGGGACCAATAGGCTACTAAAGTGGTGAGCCAATTTAAAATCGTTAGTTTCGTATTGACTGTTGGTTCTACTGTGCCTGAAAATACTCGTATACTCATTTACCGTTTGCTTTAAATTGATAAACTCAGCTAAACGCTTCAAATGATTCGAATTATGGTTGTTACGCCAATTAATATTAAAATCACCAGCTTTTTTTTGTTCCTTGATTTGTTTTCCGTCGATCTTGTTTTCCGTGCTACCGACGCCAGGGAGGCAGCTCCCACACGTGGACCCTACCTACCCAAGTAACAATTTTGGATTTATGAGGGTACTGTAGACCATGATTTAGACTTGTAGCAACAATCAATACGAAACTAACGATTTTAAATTGGCTCACTACTTGACTAGCCTATTGGTCCCAAGCAAATCGATTAACGTACCCCATTCTAGCCGAAATTCTAGTACTACACTATGTTTGTTTTGATTCGCTATGAAAGTTTGACAGATAAAATGAGGGGTTCGTGGATTTTCCTATGTTTTGAGGGGTGCATCGATTAGCTTGGGACCGAAGATACCCAAGTAACCATAGGCACGTTATTTCACCTTTTTAGCTATATACAGCTGAACAACGGCTATACCAGTGTTTGCAAGTTCTGATGAGGCCCGTATATAGCCAAAAAGGCGAAATAACGTGCCTATGGTTACTTGGGTAGTACCAAAGCTGAGCCAAAAATTTGAGCTCGTTTCTTCGGGACCTTCTAGTCTTAGAGTTACCTCTATGCTTGTAGCATGCTTAAACCACTATAAAATTTACAATGTTACTTGGGTATCGACCCATCAACTCATGAACCGGGAACCAACGGCTTTACTTCAGATCAGAGATGTTATGCCTCAGAACATCCCAGCGGCGCCGACTGGGATTGAACCCAGGCCTGCTGGGGTGAGAGGTAATCACGCTTACCACTACACCCCCGCGCCGTTTGAAAAATCACCAGCTAATATATTTAATTTCCTAGACTCAAGGAATGTCTCGAGCCAGTTCTCTAAAACTTCAACAAAACGCTGGTCACTAGAACTGGGAGAATGATACAAAACACCATAATTATCCATCTTCATGCCACGTACAACTGTAATGCCCAAGAACCAGTTGCCATCAATAACTTCGTTGGTACAAAGGTTGAATTGAACTGATTATGACATAAATAGCAACACCGCTAGTGTGTTTATAATGTGATAAACAAGCAGCAACAATATATTCCGGAATACTATACTGATCAAAAGCTTCAGTTTCTACAATATGAGTTTCAGCTAATAAAACTAATAGTGGACGTTTTTCCTCAACAATCTGACGTAAAGCTACGTAGTTTGTTGACAACCCCGTAATATAAAAAATCAAATTGATTCACATTCATGGAACTTGGCTGCTATTTATTCAAACGCAAGCTGCTTTTCTTCTGATCAAAAAGTCTTTTATAAACTAAACAGTCTGAACTAAATGCGACATGGTTGACGTCCAAGAACGTAAATTGGTTCTTTATTCATTTTCAAACAATTCAGTGCCAACATTTCAAAGGGGCGTAATTGCTTTTGTAAACAATGACTTTAGCCGTCAATTTCTCGCGAATGAAATCTTACCTCTCCCAAATGACAATGCTAACTGGTAGAGGAAACATTCCTCTACCTGCTGGTGTCATTATTTTTCATGAGTGAGCTTTTATTCACGAGAAATCGACGGCTAAAGCCATTGTTTACAAATGCAATTACGCCCCTTTGAAATGTTGGCACTGAATTAACACATTTCAATACAGTTGACGTCGAGGTTGACGTACACTCCGACGTTTTGTGTTGTTGGCTGCGCTTAGAGCATCTCTCACAATTTTTGCAATCCATGCTCTTGTGCCCAAATTTTCCACATTTGAAACATCGCAATACATTAATCGTGGGAACTATCGAGCACATTTCGGCTAATGTCTGCCATCCCGCTCTTTAACGCAATGTATATCTGAGCAGCAATGTGATCTCGCATGCCAGTGATCGAGTCCGAGAGTTTAACCTGGGACGGGACTTGACAATCGGGTAGCGATTTTGAACCAATTTGCTGTCAAATCCGAGCCAGTTGCTGATTGGTCGATTTGACAGAAGCAATCGTCTGATAAAAAAAACATAGGGATCATATCAATCTGCCTGGCAGTAATGCCGGAATCATTGTTGACGTCAATGGCGTTGTTAATTGTTTATATTTGCGAAAGGAAAGTTGGAAAATAGGGTCCAGGGCGTGCTTTAAGAGATGGATATTCTTGTTTGTTTATGGTTGTTTTTATTGTGTTAAACAAAAATGATGTACAAGGTGTTAAGCTGCGGTAGAAAGTCCGAATCAAATTAAAATTAAAATAGAAAAATCATTTTTCAATCCTGGCATCATTGGTCAACTCCGTCAAACACCATGCACTAATTTTCGACGGGCATTCATCAAAAACATTAAGAAGAGTGAGAAGCTGGATTGTCAAGTCCCGTCCCGGAGTTTAACCACCGACAAACCAACATGACACTGAATTCTGACTTATGTCCGAAAATCGTAAACGGTCGATTTAAATGTGCAGTGATCCGAACTGTCAAAATCATACGCGGAACCAAATTTTGTTAATTTAAATCAAAAATATATATGTTTATTAAATATAAATATGAATATTTCAAAGTAAATTAAAATCATGTTTTCAAAAATAAAATATGTATGTTTGAATTAAATTCAAAAGCGTGTTTATTTCAACAATACATAATGCGGGTAAATAATTTTTAGCGTGTCCTTTTTTCCTTCTTGTTTTACATTCGGCAAACTCAACTGAAAACGGCCTGCAAGCGGCGAAACCGAAGGAAAGGGTCAAGAAACCCATGCACCCACCCGTAGTGTTCCAAGCTCGACAAAACCGGTGGAACCCTAGGGGCACGCAATAACCTTTAACTCCAACGCAGGCAACGGCTGTAATTAAATTAATTCCATTACAGCTGAAGTTTCGTAGTTACATTTTCAATACTTTTAACTACATTAATTACGGATAGATAATTTGAATTACCGTCAGTACTACTTCAAAACGCATTAATTACTTTAAGTACTTTTGAAGTCGCGAAGAAACAATTCAGCGCAATTTCACACTTAATTGTCAATTAATTATCACAGCACTACGGACTACAATAACTATCGCCATCAATACTATCAATGATCAGGTATTATTTCGAAGATCTTTAACAATTCAAATCACTTCCCAAAGATATTTTCTCATATGACTCCAAGCTTTTCAGATTTTTTTTTCCAAATTCCCTAAGGTAATCAGAGATCTCCATCAAGTCCGGATCTCAGGAATGTCCATACGCACCATCCTACAAGGTTATGTACCAGAGACGGTCAGTTCTTCATATAAATTATTATTATCATTGTTTAAGATGTGCAGTTTTCAAAAAATATTGGATTTTTGTTGTAAAAGTGAAGAGTGCTCATCTTGCTCTAACATTTCTGGGAACAACGTAGAAGTAATGAGAATTTTCTAGACGTTTTTGTTTAAAAATGTTTTAGAATTTGACAAGCAACTTAAAAATGTGGAATAGTTTACTCTCAATTCGCAGGTTATTCGGATACGAGATCTAACAATAAAATTAAATTTCTACGATTTCTTTTATTCAACAAACACGATAAACAAAATATTTTGACGTACGTATGTTCAAAACAAAAATCTTTAAAACTTTGTTTTCCACTTATAAGCTATGTTTAATCATTTAATCTTTGATTTTGTTTGTGGATGACACACATCGATTGCAATTAATAAATTCGATTCTAAAACGAAGAAAGTTTATAACTTTTGCACTTGTTATTGCTTCACTGGGGCACAATTTCTATCAGAAGTATATCAACTTTCTATGCCTTTGTATAAGGTGCGCTTTTATGCAAACACTCCTGAGTATGCGTCTAAAAATGATTGCGAATGGCATGCAAATGACCCACTAGTGATCAAGAATACGCATATTACCGGACACAATTTTGTTCTCAAGAATAGCTCCCGCAGGAATATCTATACGATCACCATGATTGGCAATGATAATGACAGTACCGCGTAGTGAAACGCCGCGACCGAACGTCACGTCTCCAGACACAGTCAAATGATCCAGTTCGATTAAATCAGGAATATTGGCGAATCGTCCAAGAAATTCTTTAACCTTGCTAAAATGATTGTCTCCCAACTTCACCAACGGTGTAGTAGGGAACATACGTTGCGGCGACATAACTAGCGATCCATACTTCAGGCTGTACAGATTAGACATAACCAACAGCAAATCGGAAGTTTTCTTAACGGGCAAGAAACGCGATCGAGGTACATTGATGCCAATTCCATCGTCGAAACATTTCATAGCTGCACCAACAGCGGTTTCGAGCTGAATTACTCGCATGCCGTTGTCCAAAGTTTTGTTATTAACGATAATTTCCATGTTCATTGTGCGTGCATCCAAAACTCGTTCAATCGACTCCAGGCGTGCCCAAATGTTGTTTGTGTTGAAAAACTTGAACGTTTTTACCGACTTGAAGTCGTCCACATGTTCCTTGGGAACCTGAGCAATTTCCAGCAATCGTAGCTTATTTTCGTATTGAATCAGAGTACCACCCTTGACGTCAGCGCGTGTTTTATCGGTGACCTCCATGACGAATTCTATTGGTTTGTTCCCTTGGCGGTCGTCGCCCAGCAATCGATTCAAAATATTAATATCGACCGTTGCACCTAAATTGTCGATATTGGACAGGAAGAGGTATTCACGTCCTTCATCTAGGAACTTTTTCAGCAATCCAGAGTTCTGGAACGATTGGTAGAAATCACCGTGACCTGGTGGATACCACCTAGAAATGTGACCAACAAATAAAGTTTTATATTTATTATTGCTGAACAAAAATCAACTTACGCTTCGATATCGTTTTCAATATTGAAATCCTTGGCAACTGGCAGCAGTGAATCGCGGCTGACGCGAGGATAACAGCTTTGATTGAATGTGTAGATCTGAACCTGGAACCCCTTGTACTTGCGAATGACCTTTTCCGTATCCTCGTCGGTATTGAAGGAATTCATCAACACCAGTGGTACGTTGGCTCCATATTTTTTGTTCAAATGCTCTATTTGCTGCACGGTTAAATCGAGGAATGTTAGATCGTTACGAACAGGGATTACACTCTTGGGTCCGTGGCAACCCATGGAAGTACCCAAACCACCATTCAGTTTTACGACGACCAGTCTATTCAGCATTTTGCAAATCTCCGATTCTTGTGGAGTTTTGAGACTGGAGTAATCTTTTACAGCATCTTCCGGTAGCTTTTGGATACGGTCCCACTCGACCGAGGGACCATCTTCCTGCAAGAACCGATGAAAGAGTGCTTCGAACCCGCACATTTCTTTCTGCAGAATTGACTTCCTGACATCGTCGGCAGTCTGGAGCAGATTGTCCAGATCCTTGCGCAAACGAATCAACGCATCGCGCTTGGTAGCCTCGTGGAATTCCTTGGTGTCTGATGGGACACGTTGGTGTCCACGGACCTGTAAAAAGGAAATGAGGAAGAAGAAATGCATGAAACATTTGTTGTTAAGCATGACGAACTGTAACTGCATGGTAAATAAATGTAACTTCCAATTTTTATGGCATTTCTTTGTTATTTTGAGCTAGACTCAACCTTCAATGCTGATAGACTATTGTAAATTATTTTAAGGCTAATATTAATATTACCTAAACTAAACTAAGCACTGTAAAACATCGTGGCTAAAATCTCGGTTAAAACAGTACCGCCATTACCGGAGAAATTACAAAAATAGTGAGAAATGTATTGCATAAACTGTTAAGAAGTATATTTTGGATGAAAATTGCAAACTCCGAATCAATAATGGTAAAAAAAAATAATTTGCGATAATGATACAATAGATCCACGATATTTTGATTTTCATATTATAATTTAATGCAGTGACTAAAATATTTCCATCAATATTGCGTGAAAACCAATGAATATGAAAAAATAAACAATCTATGAAAAAAAAATATTTTTTCTAGATGGTTTAAACCTAACAAAGGAATAGATTTGGACATCAGGAACTACTATTAATATTATCATCACGTGTTAAACGTTATCAATGCACGTTCAATACCCAAGCGTGCCCATTAATATAGGAATGACCTTTGCTCCAACTATATCACAGTCTATGATCATTATCTCACGCTAAAAAAAAACATCGCAGCAAACAACGCGACTCGACCGTGTCCAGTGTCAAGAGGCTAACGAAAAAAAAAATATTTTTAAAATATAGGAATCATCAATATAGTAGCACTAAGCAAACACTAACTTGACTATCACCAACAGTTTGATTGAGCATCTTGAATTGCCTTTCATTAGCAGTCAGCACACAGGTTGCTTTCGAGTCGAGAACGATGTAAGAGTTCTGAAGTCCAAACATGCTAAGATGAAAAAAAAAGTTTCCTTCTCTCAAAACTGACGATCAACCGTTCTGCTTCACACTTGTTCCACCAGCACACCCTGCTTGGTCATAAACGTTTCAACTACTAACTGAGGCGCACACCAATCGTATGAAGTGTTCCAGCAGATTGCCTAATTAGTTAATGATTTAAATTGTATTTCCAGCCCTCTCTCTCTCAAGAACTATGTGAGAGTCCATGGGCGATAACAGCATAAGCAGAGAAAAGTCGTATAATACACAACCGTCAAAATGACCTCGTGGTCTCGTAGAAAATGAAAACATGCGCGCGCGCGATAAAGTGAAGTGACTGCATCTACCCGAATAATGTATACGATATTGTGACTCAATTGTGAGTTTCGTATTTGCACACAGCGAAATCATAAACCTAACTGGTGTAATCAACGAAACGGGCCAGGTATTTTATAGATGCTCATTTTCGATCACTACTTTTAGCGCATCACATGGCCCGACTGCAGCAAATGATTTTAGATTATGCATATATTGCACATATACTGGGACAGCTTAGACATCAATAAAAGCTTTTAAAAAAGACGCATATGGACTTGACGGCCATGAACCAAAAATATTTCAAATTATTAAATATTGCACGTAAAACTGTGTTTTCCTGACCAAAACATTGCTGATTCAATTAATCTATATTGTGAATTTCTGATCATTTTTTGAATGCCTCTATGGAAGAGGCCAAAGTCTACATAAGAAGAACCTAATTTGCTACATTTTCCGGAAAATAAATCCAATTCACTTCATTGACTTTGACTCTCTATTTCCGAAAAAGTCAACTGTATAGATACAGATCAATCGATTATCAAAGAAAATCTGATTTTAGAAGTGGTCCCTAAACCGCTCTACTATATAATAATGATTAATTTATTATGATATGATGAGGAAATGTCTCTAATGTTGGCCTCTGGATCTAAGATTGGGCCCATCGCTAAAAATCTGCTATTTATCAATTTTATCTAGATGGACGCGTCATTGGGACGTTACTAATGGATATTTTTGGTTGCTATTGAACATTTATTCGATTGCTGAATTTATGTATGGGCCCAAATTAGGGACACTTAGGCCGACATTACCTGCATTTTCCCTATATAATGATTAATATATTTATCATTATTATTCATCTGAATTTGTGTTGTCTCAAAATATTAATATGATGAGGAAAAGCCCTTGAGTTGACCTAAAACCTATATCTTCTAGGCGGTATCTATTTAAACAGATTTGATCTGTAGAAATTCCTCGAGAAATTCTCTTTCTTCTTGTTGTCATAGCATTAATCCGATGGCACATAAATCCGTCAACGATGAGCCCAGCAGCGGTTAATAAGTTAAATTAAACTAATAATAGAGCTTGCTAAAGTGTAATGGTGTTTGTAATTTGTTTTCATCAGGAAATGATTAGCTATGAAAGTTTTTTTTCTTTCATTTTGATGAAAACATTTTGGGTATTTTTTCTAAGACAAATGACCTACTAAAGAAACATCATCGCCCTGATTTGGACCCATTGTTTATGTATATTTCATAATTCTTATAACCGATATTACCTCGGATTAAATCCAGATTACCAATGTCGGATTACTTTGATCGTCAGTATTGATTAATACGATTATTCTCAAACATTTGAAAGATCCTCCAATCAAGGCCATTATTAAAAGTTAATCCGGGTTGGAGCTTACCGCCATTAGTGTTATTTAAATAAAAATATTCTGGTACTGATGAGTTTTAAAAGGGTTTTGCTAATGAAAGTTGACTACTGACTACTGACTACTAAAAACTGAAATCACGAGATCTATTTATTTTCGATAAAGTTGTAGACAGTTATAAAAAAGACTATCAAGACCGTCAAAGTGATTCTTCTTTGGCTATTATGTACTTTTAGCTTCGGGCTGAATAGTGGTTTAAAAGCAAAAGGATATCAATTTTACAAATTGAAGTACCGTAAAACGGGGTGACATTGATAGTTTTTAAAAGTTTATTCTAAATCATTTTTTCAGCAATGAATGTTTTTCAAATTTTATATTTTTAAAACAAGTACTGAGGATCCAAGAATTAATTCGTTAGTAATATCACAGACAAACAGACATAACACATTGAATATTTCTCGCTGTAAAACATCGTCGCAAAAACATTACCGCCATCTGTTGAATACACTGTGGTGGGTAGTACGCTGAACAGATGGCGGTAGTGTGTAAACGTCAAACGCAAGGAAATTGACTATGCGCGCCACAGGTGGCGATACTACCAACTACGATACTTTTAAATTGACCGTTAAATGCTTGTTCGATGAACAACTTGCGAGTGTTATGTCTGTTTGTCTGTGGTAATATGTTGAACGAAAATTAAAGCAGAAAATTGCGCTATTTTTTTAGTTTTGTGACCGAACTTCAGTTTTTTGATTTGGGGTTACTTTGATAATGCTCGATGAATGTAAAAAAAAAATATATTCAGAAAACATCATAAGCAATAAGAATACAACATTGAATTTGTGATGGCTATATCGGAAATACACTTCATAAATGATGGTTTGAGTGCTTTTTCAAGCAGGTGAAAAACACGAAAAATAGTTTTTTTAATATTTTTTTAACATACTTTATAAAAACTATATATGATATAAACGGAAATACCCTAAGCTACAGTATGGAACCAATGTTTCTAATTTTGAAAAGGGGTAGCGAGTAAATTTAATCTTTACATTATACTATCAAAGTTACCCGCACTATCAAAGATACCCCGTTTTACGGTACTACAATGGTCACCAGTTTTATCGGTCACCTTTGCTGTTGATTCATCGGTCATGGTTTAAGAAACCACCCTGAAGTCACGTAGACACTCTCTACTCACCAAAATGTTTAAGTAGCATATAAACAGCCCTAATCATATCTACCAAAATACAAGTCAACGTTACTCTTTTGTTAAGCTAATTCTATGAAACAATATCCATATCTATAGCTTTACAGTATCTACCTACTAATGAGCGAAGATAACGATACTAAAGATGACAATGCGAATCGAGTCACATTGTTTACTGTCCACAGCCGACGGGATACTGACGTTCAGAGCGTTTAGAATGTGCAATGTCACGAGGCAATCTCACGCAAGAAATAATAATAATAAATAATAAAATTCTTTTGAATTGGTCGCGTCGCGTGTCGCATCTACCCTGGCCGCGGCCTAACAGTTAAGACCTGGCTTTACACTGTGTAATGGTATGTAGGTTTGATAAAATTATCTGGATATGGATTATACGGAGAGAGTTTCATTTAAAATTACTCACCTTTCCCACTCAACTTGGAATTAATTATGATGGATTTTGATGTTGAAAAAAATCTAAAAATTTGATCCTCGATGAAATTAAAATATACAGTATCTATAGCAAAAGTAATGTGGTTTTAATTTTCAGTAAACATAAACGATAGTACCGTGGACATTGGAGTAGCTAATGGGGGTGCCAGGGGGCCAGGCCCCCTCCAGAATTATCTAGGCCCCCTCCAGATAAATTGTCTAGCTACGCCAATGACCGTGGAGCCACCATATTCGAAGCGGCTCCTAAATCGGCGCACTTAAGAATGTTCGACTATTTTCTATCATTAATTTTGAAATGTTAATTCTGCAAATATTAGTTCCAGTGCTCTAAGGATAATGGTGTAATACAGTTTAAAAAATATCTTGTCAAAACCGAGATGCGATAAAAAATAGACGAGTGCGTCATCATCAGGAACGCGTCAAATATGGTGCTGGCATGGTACCTTACTTATTTACCTTTTTCTAGCATATCATTCTGGGAGCTGCACGGAGATGAAAAACTACCCAAAATTAAGTACTTTTTTCCTCAATTTCCAGGTTCAACCCAATAACCCAAATTTGAGTAAATCACATGTAGTAGTTTCCAATTAACACCAGTAAAAAAATGCTTACTCTTAAGTATATTCTACCCAAAATTATGTTTAATTCTCGTAAATTTGAGAATATATAATTTACTCATTTCCTGTTTCTCATCCGTTGTGAAGTAATGAATCCATTGGTAATAGAAAACTTTCAGAAGCTGCTTGACCGAAATCCTCAAACAAGATTCACGAGTTTGTACTATTAGTACATGACGCTGGAGGTTTGTCCTTCTTCATTAATCTCCAATCGTGATTGCTTACAAGTCTTCTATAGTTCCTCTGTAAATTTGGATCTGTCCATGATGTAAGAAATGCATGGAATACCACCAATTTTTGCAATCAAGTACCACCAGGGCTGGAAAGCACCTCAGAGCGTTAGCAAAGCAACTTTGTGCATGCATCTCACATAACTCGACAAAGAGTTTGTTGTTGTCTCAGTTACTCCGCACACTCTTTTCCAACTAATTCCAAAGCGATCCACACAATGAGCCTCACACTCCGTGCGGCGCAGGGAGCGAATATAATACAACAAGCGCTAATGTCTACTTTGAATTCTTTGCAGACTTTGCTTACCACGACGGCAAATACCGCATCCAGAGGAGATGAAGAAGGACTCGCAGCTATATTTTACGCAGTGGAGCGAATTGCCTCATTATCTTCTGACCATTGTTAAATTTTTACGGATAGTTTTAGCTCATTGGAGGCTATTCGTTCAATGAGGCCGATGAAGCACTCCTCGTATTTTCTGCCTGAAATACGATCTAAACTGAGTGCTTTATATAACTGCTCCTATACTATTACCTTAGCTTTGGTCCCATCTCATTGCTCCTCAATTCCGGGTAATAAGAAAGCGGACTCGTTGGCTAAGGTGAGCGCTATGGCACCTTATTTGATGATACGTGAGAATTATAATTTTTCAGCACACAGCAAGCCTGTGCGTTTTTTCATGAATTTACGGTGATTAGGAACATATTGTAATTACTCGTTAAATTACTTATTCAGAAAAAGAATGAAATATCTGTTGCATCTAAAAAATTAGGTGTCAAATCTGCCCCAGATGTTCATAATGCCCCTAGTTACCCTACGTCATACATATTATTTCCAGTGAAAACTTGATGTTTACGGATTCCACTAGCGCATCAAAGGGGAGAGGGTAGGTATAGGTATAGGAAAAAAAAAACATGACGAAAGAGGGGAGGGGGTTAGTTTTTCCACAATTTGGCGTGACATAATTAAAGTATGGCCCCGGAAGCAAATATTAAATTTTCTTTATACTAAATGTAAGTTAACTTTTACACTTTTCAATATGAATATGAATAATGTTGAGCAATGTTGCTATGGATCCATTATGTCGATGAAAAAGTTGTTTTTTCAAGATCAAGATTTAATTCCACTTAGTATTTTTTTGCCGAGATGGGCACCCCGAGTAGCTTGGTATTTTATGTTGCTGGATCTCAGTGAAAAACTTGCCGAGAGCCATTATGAAATAGTTTTTGCATTGTCGTTTCCGCGAGAGAAGAAGAAGACATCACAGACATATATATATATATATTGACACGATCGGACCTCGTTTCCCTCATATAGTCTATAGGGGAAATGTATGTAATATCGGCCTAAGTGTACCTAATTTGGGCCCATGCATAAATTCAGCAATCGACTAAATTTTCAATAGCGACCAAAAATATCCATTAGTACCGTCCCAATGACGCGTTCATCTAGATAAAATTGATAAACAGAAGATTTTTAGCGATGGGCCCAATCTTAGATCCATAGGCCAACATTAGAGCCATTTCCCCTATATATTTATCTATGTTTTTTTTTTACGGTTAGCGACTTATAGTCAGATTTTTATTTCAGAAAGTTAGCAGATACTGAGAAGTAAGCACATATCATCGGTAAAAGACGTGTGTGAGAGAAAATTTGCGAAAAAAATCTAAGGGCACCGGTGAGATTCGAACCCACAATTCCCATTCAATACACGGGTGCAATTATACAACGGTGGACCTATGGTCTACTGATGTATTTGGCTAATGACATTTGAGTTTCGAATCCGTTTCCCTCCCTAGTCTTTTTGCGCAAGCGTTCTCTAATACACAACAATCGTCTATTATCGACGATATGTGCCTGTACCGCAACCACTCAATATTAAACTCGACGTGAAACGAAAGACGTAAGACGTATTCAATCAATAAAGCTAGTTCTGCTTGTTCAAGCTTGTCGTTTATTTTTTGCCAATCCGAATAAGAACCTCCTTTAGTATGGTTTAGAAAATTGAATTGATTTAAGCTTTGTTATATTTGCGTGAAAAGCGTCAAACGTGATTGATGAAAAATCACTAACTATTGATATTGATATTGATCATATCATTAAGCATATTCACGTGCTGCATATATATTTTTATATTAGCACATACATACTTCGAGAATATATACTGCCATTATTGAGCGCATCTAAGCTCTAACAAATATTTTACGATTTATTATGATTTCTTATCGACAGGAAAACAAAAACTGTTTCAACTTGTGTTGATCGTAGATTAAATTTTAACCTTCGGTGACATTGGTATGATCGCTTACGACCTTCAATAGACGATGCAGATGATCGAGGTCTGTAAAACTTACTATCCAAACTTACTTTCAGCAGAATGTCAATAGCACCGGTCATTTTTATCTAAGTCTCGCTCTTTGCCGTCTACCCTGAACAGATAGTATCACAGCGTCCTAAGTAGATGTAAACACTATCACGATGCACAAACTCTTCTCGAGTGCAAGCGGGCGAAAAATGTAAACATTCACAGATTCGGTAGAAGAGCGCGAATACAAAACACGATGCAGTGAAATATGTACGATTAGCGGTTGCTAAGTACAATAGTCTGAACGTAACACGTTGCGGAATAAAACTACACTGCTCTTCCGGCAACGGTCGAAACTGGAATGAAGCTAATGAATGTATGACGCTCAAGTAAAGTATTGATAACGCAGCCCAGAACTCAATAGCGCAAAAAAAAAACAAACTAATGGCACTACCAACTTCTTTCTAATAGTGTCAGTATACTAGATTTTTAAGTTTTGAAAAACATGAGTGTGAGTGTCACGTTACTTTCATTCACTTGTCACAATTGCATGTGCTTTCATGAGATGTACGCTCGCGTGGATTGCTCTTATCGACGTGTTTTGCTTTCTTGATTAGAGCGCTTTATGAATAAATTAAAAATAAGAATGTTCGACCAGTTGGGGAGATGTTACGCAATTTGAAAATGATGTGTTTCAACCAAATTAATAAAAAAAATATGAAAACGACGTCACACAACCCTTGAAGTGATATATCAATACCTTAAAGCCGGTCACAACTCTTGCAGACCCCCTCCCTCTCAAATGCTACGTCATTTAAGCATGGTCCTTACCAAACCTAACAAAATACTATATTTATTAGCACTTTGGATAATATAAAAATCTCTGGTCACATCTTCCTTCGGAAGGGAAGCTAAGCCGTTGGTCCAGGCCATGTGTGTTGATTGGTTGCGATATCGTACGCAGGTGTGGAAGCTGCCTTTCTGCACATTCGATTGCCGTCAATGAATGGCAATCGATGTCCATCGATGTAGATTGCGGAACAGTGACCGACGTTGAATAAAGGAAATAAAAAGAAAGAGCACTTTCTATAATGAGTTTTCTATTAGCTGATTGTGCTACATTACCCCGAATATCGTTACCCCGAATGTTAAAAGAACGAACAGCAATCAAATTCTCATTCGGGGTAGTGGCCATTCAGGGTTATGGCGTACGGGTAGGTGACATTCTAGGTAACGACACTCTTGTCCCGTATGAAGTTTATTTTTTTAGGAATATTAGTTTTCATTCATTAAAGAACAGATATATTACATAAATATTCATAAAAAAATTGTTAATTCAAAAATCCTTATTTTACGAAGAATGTGTTCCTAGGTACATTTATTAAAAAAATTCAAAACATCAGCATAACCTACCTAAAATTATGTTTTTTTTTTGCATTTGTTATAAGACTTTCGTTTCATACACTATTTAGAGCCATACATAGGTAGTAGCATTCAAAATATTGAAAGTGACATTTTTGCCTTGTTGCCCTTTTCACTCCTAAAATGTAAACATAGGGGGTTTGAACTATATTTTGCCGGCATCAATCGATAGGTTTAATTATATTATGGTATTTAGAAGAATGCTGGCTTAACTAAAGCCAGAAGTTATCACGAAAAATGTATTTCTTTGTAGATGATGTTCAAAATTTCCAGATTCCGGTTAATATTTTTTTTCGATAAAGAAAAATAGCAGAATGTGGCTCATCGATGGTACAACTAGGCATCTTTATATGAAATCCATACAAATATTCCTAGTTGTAGCATTAAGAGGACGAACGCATAAGTACATTTATTAAATAGGAACACGAAAATTCAACAACCGGTTATAATAAGTTTCGTTTGCTAATGAAGTTTTTAAATAATTTAAATACGCTATTTAACATTAGGATATATCCCCCTCTGTTTAATGTATATAGCTGAAACTAGTGGGACAGCCTAAAACTGAGCCTGCCAGTGGAAGAAACTAAACCCTCTAGTAAAAGTATGGACGACTGTCACCACAAAACGGAAAAAAAGTTGTTCCAATCGAGCAAAGCAGTGACGGTTCGATTGGAACTCCTTTTGACAAACGTCCATACTTTTACTTACAGGACTTTAGAAGAAACTGGGTATGCTATACGGGCTAGCATACGTTAACAGATAGGATTAGTAACTCACTCAACTTAAGTGCCGATGGGCAGGAAATGACAAAATTCATAGTTGGTGTATAGTGCCGAACGAGATTTTTGTTGCAGTTTACCTCTTCATGACCTTTAGTAAAAGTAATTAGTCCAGTGGAATAGAAAATTTAATCTGAAGACATTCGGTTCCAATGGAGTACAAAATAAGCAATTGAACAGTATCTTACTCTAAGCAGCTGTATAACATGTATTCTATTGAAGTTGAATCTTTATATCTTTCACAACTAAACGAGACAAACACTTCCATACAGTTTCAACGTACATAATATTCAACTACTTTTTTTACTGTGATATGTAGCTGTTGATTCGCAGTCATCCATCGTACGATTAGAATATTGTTACGATCTATTTTTATCTTGATTAAAAGTTTATTGGCTGATGCAAATTTTATTTTTGTTTTATGCAACGTCAATACAAAATATTACAGAGGCAAAACAAATCAGCCCCATTCAAAATCATCACTTGTTCGGCGCATCCTTAAAGTACTTTTTTTTTATTAAATCAGTTTTTATACATTATTAATTTTCTGCCATCCCCTCGACCTATTTGAGTGATGTCGGACATAAAATGAAAATATTTGTATCAGCCTTATTAAGTCATAGATGGTTTTATTAATGACGAATTAAGTAAACATCTGTTCATTAGACAGTGTTCTTAATTACATAACAAATTCTAGCACAATAACGAGATATGCAAGGTTCGTATATTTTTTATACGAATCAGCAATAACCGGCAACGACCTTCACAGCTTTTCTTGGGATGCAGAGAGGGTGATCAATGCTAAACCAAACGCTACCATTTTCAAGGTCATCAAAGGTCACATCCCAAGAACGTATTACGAGCCGGCGAACCGCGGGCACAAAACCGAGCAAACGGTAAATACAAACGCGTCTACAACCACACAGCTTCGTACACAACACAATTATTGTTTTCTTATCAGCTGAGTTATCACTAACTTACCTTCTGTTCATTTGCAACTGCTAACATTTCGCCTTTGCACCGTAAACTTCCTGACGTGTACGAATTTAGCTGAGTACTGTCTCAGTCGGATGTCGGATGACAACTCACTCGCTCTTCCCAAATTTTGGGGTTCACAAAAAAATCTCTGCACACAGTGGCACGCACTAAACAAATTTTATTTTTGCGATTGCAACTCCTACAAATTAGGCAACGGATCTTTCTCGGCACTAAGCGACCAATGGAGCCAATCAACGATAAGTCGATACCGAGCCGATCGAATAGACTGAACACAACTGAATACTGAATAGCAGAAAAGGTCACTCTGCGGCAGTTTTTGTTCATAAAATATCAAGCGGTATTTTATTGTTTGTGACAACAATAAACACGACGTCTACTTAACTAACACGACGGTATCAAACTTGCAGAGCCGTAACGTAATCATTGTATCAAAACAATATCGTATAATGGATCAATTTTATTTCTTTTTTATCGTGCGATATTTTTATGTTGCGCGTGGAAGTGTCACCTGACTGTGTGGCCTTTGTATACACTGTAACATGCAAGTACCCATTAATGGGTATAAAAGTACCCATTATTAGCATAGAGGTAACTCTAAGACTTGTAGGTCCCGAAGAAACGTGCTCAACTTTTTGGCTCAGCTCTGGTACTATCTTCGGTCCCAAGCTAATCGATTCACCCCTCGAAACATAGGAAAAACGAATAACCCCTCATTTCATCTGTCAAACTTTCATAGCGAATCAAAACAAACATTGCGTAGTACTAGAATTTCGACTAGAATGGGATACGTTAATCGTTTGCTTGGGACCAATAGGCTAGTCAAGTAGTGAGCCAATTTAAAATCGTTAGTTTCGTATTGATTGTTGTTATTAGTAAGTATATGAAGCTGTCAAATAATGGGTAATTGAATATTTTTGAAAATGGGTTCTTTTGTACCCATCTTTTTGACCTCTTCGGGGAAGAAAAATGAGTATTATTTCAGGCATAACATTTGATAACGGCACAAAAGCATTTGTAAACAAACTTTCTAAGGCCCTTTACACGCGAACCAAAGTACGCCCATGCAAACCAATACCACTTTCGGAAAGGTGATAGTTGTCCCTATCCGATGATGTTGTTGGTTTGCGTTGGCGTACTTTGGTTCGCGTGTAAAGGGCCTTAGAAAGTTTGTTTACAAATGCTTTTGTGCCGTTATCAAATGTTATGCCTGATTTTATCCATTATTGGGTGAAAATTATCTTAATCAATAGTGAATATTGTCTAACACAAAGCATATTACGAGGCCTTAAAAATTGATTTTCTATACCATCTATGCCTAATAAAATGAGTATTGAAATGTAAGTATTTATTTGAAATATATCTAGGTGGTGTACATTATGAAATTCAGATAAAATTTAATGAGTTTTATTGTTAATTTCAGATCCACAAGGAAGTGGCCGTGAACAAAGTGTTCCAGGAAGGGATGACAAGAAGAAACGTCCGACAAAAGCAACACATTGCACAGCAGGGACAGTGGATGCCAAGTTATTATTATCGAAATAAATAAAAAACAAGTTATTAATGCTAATGTTTCCGCCATTTCAATGAAATATGCGAAAAATCAAATTAAAATTAATTTCTAAATAGCTCAATTATCGAAAATGTATACTTTTTACCCATTTTCTAAATCTTTTCATTTCTGAAAATGGGTAAAAAGTACCCGATGATTTGACGTACAAGCTCTTTACCCATTATTGGGTAAAGACGTTTTACCCATTTTATGAGTTTACCTAGTTTACTTCGAAATGGGTACTTTTTCACCCATTAATGGGTACTTGCCAGTCACAGTGACACCAACAATCAATACGAAACTAACGATTTTAAATTGGCTCACTACTTGACTAGCCTATTGGTCCCAAGAAAACGATTAACGTATCCTATTCTAGTCGAAATTCTAGTACTACGCAATCATTCCGTATCGAGCGCTGAGTCTCTTCATACGACACTCGTTTTTTACCGCGTTTCCATCGCTATCGTTGTAGAAAAAAAGTGTTCAGGTGAATCGCGCACGGTTTTCGGAAGCAGCTATCGTAAGCTGAGTCCTACGTATAGACTGTTCACCTTTACCCCAGTGATCGATCATCATCAAATCATCACCATCATCATC